CAAGTTGTTAATAACTTGTAATAAAAATAATAAAATACAGCATGCGATGTTGAGAAAAAAAGAAATATTGGCAAAAAGAAGACAAAATTATGACATTGCGAAAATCAGAGAATATAAATTTACATTAATATATTTATGTTCTGACCACAAGTTATAAAATTTAAACTATAGAACTGTGTAAGAATATGCTGTTGATACTTGCTCATTGCTGAGCATGTAGCCGCAAAGAATATGATATGAATATGAAACGCACAACATTGCCGCTTAGTTTCAAAGTGGAACGTGTTACTGACAGAACTCTAGATGGCTATTAAACCCAGGACCCTTATCTGTATCAATCCTCCTGTCATTACAAACTATTAATAACCATATAATATAATTAGTCCCCCGCAGATGTACTCCAAAATCTGCCATGATTGTTACAACAGTAATTTCGGCTTTAATGGAGATAGACCCCTACACCTCTAAGTAGTAAACAAATAAGCCACGTCGACATTTTTTTCTTTTCATGTTATGGGAACAAGCATCATCAATATACAAGTACATGAACAGCACGTTAACATGTAACACTTAAATGCATGTCCCTTATCGAGTAATTTTAGGATCAAATTTTAATACTACACAATACAAAAAAAAATCAACAGTTCCTACTTTACTATTAAAGTTAGCAGCGTTTTACACATTTCGTATGTATGTTATAAGATTATACCTAAGAATTATTAAACCACATACTATGTTGACTTCAGCATGTTAACACTTAGACGCGATGTGACCACATATTGTGTCGTCATGTTCGTAAAGTTCACTGAGAGTCATAGGAGCAGTTCGAAAACTATTTATTAACCAGTATTAAGATTGGGGGTGATGTGAATATACACGACTACTATTAATAGCATAATAACTTTTTACATCTAGCTATATAAGTGAAAGTTTGATATCGAATAATTTGGACACAGTAATTAAACGGGAAAAATAGCCAATAGCTTCCTAGGAAGCCAATAGTTCCCTCAGAGTGAATAAATCTTTAATAAGTCAAGATGTAACAAAGAAACAAATAATCTTGCATTAATAGTAACTTCACTAAGTCCACATAAGGTTAGTAACGCTTGTCCATAAGGATTTTTTGCTATTCCATAGCGTGATCATGATTGGACGGTATTATAACTCATATAAGTATTTAGGTATGTAATTAGGCAACATAAAAGCAAGGCAATACATTAAGAAAGTAATTAATGTGTTTAATTTATCGGTCTCTATTTTGTAGAGGTAATCACAGGGTAAGCTCATTTGGCACAGTTGGAATCAATTGATTGAATAATTTAATACAGATGGCGTTGTTTTTAGGTCGCATGGTATCCTTGTCCCTTACCTTGTACCTACTTGAATAAATTATTGGGAAGTATTTCTATCGATTTTTTTCTAGGTTTCGTAGAATTTTTAATACATGAATATATGCGTAATATATAATGACAATATAGTTTTATACTAGTTACTATATTATTAATTCAATAGACAATTCATAGAGTACTGTCTAGTCCCAAGCAAAGCAGAGCTTGTGTTATGGGTACTAGACAGCTTGTACGAATAAATAGATACTTTTTCTTATATGCATACATAATATATATAACACACCCAGACTGATACAAACAATCATACATATGTGATTAAAAATGTTTGTGCCGTGCGTGGAATCGAACCCGCGACCATCGAAAGTAAAGCGGTGTGCTAAAGCGCTAGATCACCAAGACCATCGTAATATTGTTGTTATTGTTTGAAAATTTAAGTAGATTATTTTTTTTGTAATATTTCGAAAACTCAAGCTTATTTTGATGATGGATTGACTTATTTCTCGATACGTAATATATATCTCTATGTGCATACCAAACTAGTTTATATACATTACACTGAATCTGCAATCACACTTATTCTATGAATCAAGTTTCAATGTCTTGTCTAGTCTCTACAGCTTTATACATATAAAACTTCTGGAGGAAATTGTTCAAATAACAATGCGTTATTCCGTAGTATATTAAAGTGTCCACGCAGCAACACCAATTTTCAAATATATTGAAATATGGCGAGGGGAAGAATAGTGGGATGCCAAAAGCTGTTGCCAAGATATGTACAATAGTGTAATAGGACGTAGTTCACCGCGAACACTTGATTTGTGATTTATAACCATGGCGGAAATTGGCTGCCATTTTCATATATTTTGTGGTACGTTTGAGTTTTGATCAGTATATTGAACTCACATAAAGTGCGAGTAATGGGCTATAATCTGCGTAGAATTGGCGACTGAACAGATCATATTATATATTAGGTGCCTAGTTAATAATTTAGTAGGGTCGAGTGGGAATTGGCGGATTATTGACGCGAGTTCATAAAATTTGCCGTTCGCATCTCGGCGAATTCGTTTCGTGGGTACGTATCATATTTCACATAAAAGAATTATATAACGTGTTTTGATTTTCTTTTACGGTAGAGTTACCATATATTTTTATTCTCATCCAGGTTTGCTTGTATATGTGCTATCGTAACTATTATTATTATCGTCCTTATCCGACTACTGAACAATGAATACATGGATGTACATGTTCAAATTTCGATATTAGGTTAACGTGTACCAAACAAATTTAATGTATTTTATATGAGATGATAGTAGTTTCGCAGCTTTCATAGGCGCTATATAAAATATAAGGCATGAGCTATCCAAGCTTCAACTTATTAACTTTTTGGCATCTCTTGCTACATTTATATTTTTATATAGTATGTAAGCGTTAAACCTACATAGATCACGGAATACTTAAATTCACGGAATATCAATAACAATAAGTATAAAGTAATTGAACTGAATTAGTAAACGTTTCTATAAAGGTTTTATAATTTTCTATATATTAATGTAACTTCTGTCATTTTATGGTCCACATGATTTGAAATCATAAAAAAAAGGACTTTGTAAATTCGAAAGTATTTATCTAATGATTGTCCTATTCATTTCATCTATTTTTTTTTTTCTTATGTATTTATTTATATGTGTCTCCAATTAATAATCGATTGCGTAGTGTAATGTATATAGTCTTATTACTCTGGTATTTAATCCTCGTGAGAAAATAACTTATGGCGCAGCTGTCGCATCGCCGCGCCGGTCCTCAATATTTTACAAGTGATTTCGGATATCGTAAAAATACAAGAAGTTCTAAAAGAAACTTTTAAAAAGCGACTCAGGCCTCTTATTTTTTCCTTACAAACCCATCGCCAAAAGTTGGATAGTTTTACATCGGGGACCCTTCGATAAAGTGTCATAATTTACGTGAAATATTGTTTTTCTGGGAAGGGAAGCATATTTTGTTATCTTATTTGTGGTTTCTGAATAAGTCATAAGTTTCTTTTTCAGATAGTATATTTGTTACCAAATCCAAGTTCAGAACCTGTTGATAGTACATCGTCATTTTTAGTCTCAGGTGTGGCTGTCAGATCAGTCTTACAATAGATCGTTTATCTACAAATCCTAGAACTTTTTTTAGTTTCCTTAGCCTATTAATAGTATACTTCGAATAATACTTTGGTAGACATAGGTATTATTTTAAATATAAAATTATAATAACTTCCATAAGTACATTTTCAATTATCTACTCATATTAATATTGATTATTTATTTAAGAACAGTTGTAACTAGACGAAATAATTTTCTAAAATATTCATAGATAAACATTCCCAAAAATAGAAGTAATATAATATTCGGGATTGAGTCCAACATTCGCCGTATGAAGAGAGGCAAAATGAGAACCATCAGGCAAAACTTTTCTCTTTGCGCGAAAGTTTGTGATGTGAACAGAAACCCGAGGCGGGCTCCCTCGGGACGCCGTACATGCATGTTTAATGGCGTCCTAGAAAGGTCAAGAGTCTGACTGTGGAGGTAGTGAATACATTACAAACTCCCATGTGGATACATTCTCCGAGGTAGGCAGTCGTGCCGTGACAACCTCTTTTCCAACTTTGAGGAACTAACACGCCGCGGACAGGTAGTTTGTAGCTGTCTCTCAAACAAATTAATTGTGTCTTAGTTTTGAGCTGTAACGAGGGAGTAACTCAAACAAACTTTTGAGCAAGGTACGGAATGGAAGTGCCTAGCAAACAGCTTCAAATGTTATGGCGTGAATTCGCAAAATTTTGATACAACGCTACAACGCTGACATAAGACGAAGTTCTTTGAGAACTTGAAAATTTCCCGTGGTCCTTCTAGACTCGTAATTTTATTCCGTGATGTTTCAAACATAATATCTCGTAGTCACGGAAATATTTCAAGCAATACTTTAATACGGTTTTGGAGTGCCGTACTTAAATCACAAAATGCAAAACCACTGATATTTTCAATATATCATTATATCTATCGGTATCTATGACCGATAGATATAATGACATATTAACTTATGTATTTCGAATCGATCATCAAATTTTAGGGCTTATAATGTCGTTAAAAATACTATAGTATTATTTAGGTATAAAGAAAAGGTAAATAATTTAATAAAGTTAAAGTAATTTGAAAAAGTCAAATTAATGAAGAATGTCTCCTCTCCTACCTTCAAACCAATTGACGTGGTTTGAAAGAAATTTTAATTATCAGTAAAAATCTTTGGAGATGCAATCAATAATATGTAACTGTAATGTTAAACTCATCTAAATTGCTATTTTTAAACATTTATTTAAAAAAATCCATTCTATCCATATTGTAGAGATTCGTGCTTGGATTTTTATTATTAAATATTTGTTTAGTGTATATATATATGTGTAAGCAAGAAGTGATTATTGTATGGTGGCTATTTATTCAACTTCATTTACTGTATTTTATTGCGGTTTTGTGATAATTAAATTCTTAAATTATTATATTAAAAACAATGGTTATAACTATTTAAAAAAAAAATCTCATAATACGACAAATAGTTAACCTATACTTACTTATTAAAATAATTAAAAGTTAATAAAAAATAATGTCTTCTTACCTTTTGGTGGATTAATATGTAGAGCGCTACGGAATAGGCTTTCTTCATCACGCCAATCGAGATTTCTCCGCATGGTGTTCCCGCACATTGCGGACAAAACGATAAGCAAGGCCAACATAAAAACACGACTACGTGTTTCATTTCGGTGCCAATGGCGCGTCAAGGCACCAGCTCCTAGTCCGAGCAATAAACAAAAACCAACACTGGGAATGTAAAGAACACGCTCTGCGACCACAAAGCCAACGTAAAACAGAACATTAGTAGCAGGCACGAATGGCAGAATCATAAATGCCATGAACATTAACATCGCAACTTGAGGACTGCGATAAATGTGTCTCACTGTGATATTAGGTGACTTATATTTTATGCTCGCCATCGGGCAAACGCACGTAGAATTGTGCATCATTGTATTATTGTTGTTAATGGCACGGCATGCGCTTGTGTGCTCATCAGTCAACGAATGTTTACAGCCCGTACATGTACACAATAGCTTTTTAGATGACACATTCTCTTTGTGTGGCGCATGGTAGCTTTTTCTTTCAACGCAATCCTGCCCTTTGTTATATTGTTTGCTATTGTAATTCCACTTGTGCCTTATCTTACAATTCTGTTTTTTATAATATTTCACTTCCTTTAGCGGTTTCTCTTGGCATTTTCTGAATTCGTTCACTACAGCTTTCCATGTAACTTTTGACATGACTACGTAGAAAATGATTGTGGATACATTTCGGGTATCAAAAATAGATGAGATTCTTGGTATAGATTCCATAGACCAATCGAAGCTTAGATGCAAAGGGTATAAAAGGAGGAAGAAGTTAAAAACTGGGAGATAAGAAAACGTATAAATTCTTGTGAGCATCGAGGGATCGCGAGACGCAGGATTGTCGGCTGCAGCGAAAGGGGACGGTGTTCCAGCAATTCTCAATCGCCAGTATAATAGAGCGATCCCCCCAGTTCCCAACAAGCAGATGCTGCGCCAGCGATTCTGAAACAAACAAAACAACATTATTTACGACATGCCAATACATTAAATATTTTTTCTTTCTTATTATTAGAGACAAGGTCGATAGACATTAGGTTCTATTTCCATTTGAATTATAAATTCTGTTAAATATCTAGAACGGGTCACTTTCTTTAGCACAAAAAAGTAATAATTTTAGAATTCACACGGTAAGAGTTTTGTTGTCATTTGTTTTGCTAGTAGATATGATAGATCCAATCCACGAGTATATACTTAATGATGAAGTCTTTTCAGAACTACGAATACGATTTGGAATCTTAATTTTTGCAGAGATATTAATTTTATAAAAAACTACAATATTTTTCTTAAAATTATATAAGAAATATATACGGAAACTATGCCATGCATTTAAAACTGCAGTATTTCCTATCATTTGTCATTTTTTCACACCGTAGATCAGATCAGACCTGCTGGATAGGTTTGAGACTTCTTTAGAAAATTTATGAAATGTGATATATACATATGTAAGGATAGAAGTCTAAGTCATGAAGTATCTGAAATGAAGTTATTCGTAAATAAATATAAGTTAAGTACGTTCTCTATTAGATCTCCATAAAGGGGAAAGCAAGTGTTTTGGCTACATTTCCATGGCCATTTTATAGTATATCTCGTTTTCGTCTAAGATATTTTGTTTGTTTATATTATGTGCGAGTAGACTGTATATTTGAAAAGGTAGAAACTTGAAATGTTTGATATTCTAAAATACGTAATAATTTGCTTTTCTTTATCAGTATTCTGTTAGTTTTTTAAATAATATAATAATTATTTCTAAATTATGGGTAACGCATATTTAATACAACTTCAAATTGATCTAAACTTTTATTCTTTTATGTCATTTTAGTGATAGTCTAGTCACATTTTTGTGACTTATGCAAGTCAAGTGTTTGGTATTCATATTTTCATTCGTCCGTTATAATTAAACAGTTTCCATTTTTGAAATGCGATTATAAAGAGGTATAATCAACTGTATAAGTAAAAAATATAGTATTTTTATAGGTTCCTAAAATGATTTTATTTAATTGAAAGTTCAATTAATTTAAAAGTTAAATAAGTACTTTATTATAACACAATTTGTAACTAATAATAAAACCCAAATGAAGGTCCCAGTACAGTTTGTTTATATTATTCAAATTCTTTTTAACTTCCTATTGATTGATTACCCCGAAGGAATATTTCATTAATATCTGCCAAAGAATTTGCTGCAATACTACAGAACTGTGATACTTTATGGACCTTCAATATTCATATAACTTTGACCCATTTCCTATGTAAGTATACAAATTTGAAATAATACCTAATGAAACACTGTAAATGCTTTAAATATTTTTTATACAATTTCTTTTTAATTTTAATCATCTAATTGGAAGAGTACACCTATTTTCGAAGAAGTATGTATATATACTTCAAAAGAAGGAAGTTTCAGGGATAAATGATAATTTTGGGGATTCTTTTTTATTTCAAGTGAGTCTATTAATAATTTTAACAAAATGGAAAATTATTTATATGTTTTTAATATACTTATTTTATATATAATAGTGAACAAATATAGGTCAATCTGATGTAATGGTTTAATGACACCTACATATTTACATGGATAGCATCACGGACATGACAAAACTGACTGTAATATTACAAATAATATGTTAATTTTTTTTATGACAGCGTCATATTTTATATTGAATCGAATCAAAAATATACTTTTACTATACATATAAAATTCAACATTCAAGTTAACAGAACACTATTTTAATCATTAATTCATGCAAATAACACCCTATTTTGCGAATAGGTAATAATTTAAATCCTATTTATAACATACATGAATAAAACTATGAGACCGTAAATAAATGAGGGTCTTGTATCTAAAGCTGTAATAATTTTAATCCATAGTGAAGGCGGCTCGATAAAATTGATTTAAAAGGGGTGAACGGTGGTAAGACGTCCCTTTAGATTATTAAATTACTAATGCCACCTATAAGCGGGAACCCTCTTTCACTACATGATTAATATGAAAATACGATCAGTTAGGTATTCTAATCTACTTAAAGTGGTGTTATTATGAAAGTTTTCAGGGTTATTTACTGGCTTACGGGTTCGATGTATGCGAGTCCGTGCCGTGGCGGCTTGTTAGTTGCGGGGAGCTCGAGGAAAAGATTTATGAAGGTTGCCTCGTCCCTGTTCGACCTGCATGACCCAGGGGAAACCCCTGCGCAGAACTAACGATGCCGTTTCCGATTTCCAGCATAATTTACACGAGACTGCGTGGAGCAAAACGGAAATCTCGGGGAGACTTAGATGAACATCAAATTAATCAATCGGAATGAGGAAAGAATAGTGAATAATACAACGAACCTTTTTCGCACCTATCTGAGTTAGTGTGTACACAACACATGGCTATTGATCAGTTGTCTTATGTTTGGATAATAAATGAGTTTTGCCATGTTTTATTTGAAAGTATAATTCACGTGAAAGTGGTCTAGTTAAACCACTGAATTTAAACTTATCCTAACTTGGACATCCTGTGAGACATTATTCAGAAATCTATCCGATAATAAAAAAAAATGTTTAATTTATATATCTGACTGATAACCTCACTCACTGGATTATCAGATAATATGAACGTAGATTTATAGTGGTTGGGTATATATAATTTTATTTATTAGTTGAATACGACCTACAGATTATTGAATAGGTAAGTAATGTATATGTTAACAATAAATCAACATTGTGTTCCATGAATGGTGATATCGATTCGTATATTGTGTGAGTTAATATATTAACATAATTGCAGAATGTGGTTCCGTGACCAGTCAGTGACCGGACTTTATTTTGTTTTTGTATTAAACATTTTTCTGCTTTTCATTTGTTATTTTATTCTACTATATATTGATAAAAAGTGTTTAATGGAAAATTATAGACATAATCAAAACTGGAATCATAAAGTTAACATTAATATATCTGGTAAGACGACCATCTTTACTAGTATATGTCTATGGAATGTTCGGATTGACAGGTTTTCTAATGGGAATTATATAAAATCGTATAAAATATTTCATTTCATTTAGAGCATCAAGTTACGGTAATAATATTGCCAACTATGTATTACGTTATATGATAACCTATTCTTAAACATATATTGATATTAAGGATTAACTATAAAATAAAGAAGAAACTTACTTTGATACATTTCTCAGGGATAAAACGACAATTCAAGAATGCATAAAGAAACCGCGAGTGACACACGTGTATGACTAGTTCCATGCAGGAGGGCCGAGAGTTTCCAACGGTCCAATGCATCCTTCTTTGTCTAACTTTAAAACAGAGCAAATACCTTTTTGTGCTGTCTATTCCATTATTTGACAGTTTTGGGCTATTGTCAGATGCTAACATCAATTGTACTCGCATTTTTTCAAAATTTGCTACCTAGACCCGTCAAGGACATTTAAAGGATATTCTTAGGAGCGATAGTTTTTATCCTCTCAGGATATAGTTTATACTTTCTAAAAGAGATATTTCGTTTATGCATGAGTGGGCTTCAACCAACCACATAGGATGTATAGTAGCGTTTCCTTTTCTGCTTGGCAATATCTACAAATTGTTATTAAGCTGAGCCCTAGTTTAGCCATGTGTTTATTCAATTTTCAGTGTCCAGTGTATCCCATAAAAAGTAGTATAATATGCAAAGAAATATATTTAGCGTACTAATACAAAAACCTTTCCTTCGTTTTAATTAAAAATAAGATGTTCAATTTGTTACATTTGGATGGCTCACAATGTGAATATACGTGCGGAGAGATTACCCTCATTTGTTTCCCGCGGAGGGATAAACACGTTTATCTCACCTACTCGTCTACCTACCTAGTCTTGTATCTCTATTTTATGCTATGTTAATAATTTTATATGTAGTACATTTTTAGTACTTTTTTGTATTATTTATTTTTATTATTATTTATGAAAACCTCATATAAAATGTCATGTAGGCACTATTTATTTTCGGGTACCATAATCAATTTCTCATTTAATATTATTTCCTTCTTCTTAAATACGTCAATCTTTAAATATTGAACCGTTTTTCTTTTTCTTTTAAGTTATATTTGTTTAATTAAAATTTGGCATAATCGTTGAATAATTAAAATAGATAATTACGAATGTTTTTTTTTATAGATTAGGGTACTAACAAGCTTATGGCTCACCTGATAGCAAATCGCTTATAAGCCTATTATTTAATATATTTTAGAAAAATTCGTTTTTTTTAAGAATTAAGGGATAATTATATCAAAAAGTGTTGAATGCCTCTCACAAATTGCCATACACAGTAGTAGTCAGTAATAATACTTATCGAAATTTGCAAGAAACCTACTTTTAACTTTTTTGAACTCATAAGAATAACTCGATTTACAGTTTAAAACAATTAGATAGTATGTAATCGTGAGAAATGTAATGAGACATACTCCTTAAACATTCATCTATGCAATTTTAATTCATCCATTTCGTCAGTGTTCATGTCAAAGGAAATATCTTAATGAAATAAGCGAGCTAGACGTCAGAGGGTTCTTATCTGGAAAATTTACTGGCTGACTGACATTACTAACCTCGCCTCGCAAATACCGGCTCTCAGTCGAAAAACCCATAGCATTAAGCAGCAACAATTTCGCATTTCAGTGTAATAATATAGAATAATTTTATATAGAAAAGCGTTGTTGTATATTTCTCATACAGTTTTTCTTTTTCTTAATTGAAATTTAATCAGAATTAGGTCTTTATTATTAAGGTTATTCCTAAAAATCATAATTGGTTTGACTAATAAGTCTCCTTCTAATTTTTTTATGGATGAGAATGGTACACTTGCTTATATTATTGAAATGTGCACCAGTGGATGTTGATATGAAACGCATAGCAAGCCATTTTGACTGATACTGAGGCACATAGTCTTATTTGCGTAATCCAAATATAAACCTAGTACA